GGTTTTATTCCTGACGAGCAGAAGCCACAGCTTTGATGGGATTTTGCCTAAAGGCTTTTGCAGAGCTTCTGGATCGGTGTCTGGGCAGGACTGACCTCGCCCAGTGTTGCTTGGTCAAGCCAAATTCTGCCTTCTCCCAGGGCCAGGCGCAGGCAGCAGAGAAGGGAGTGATAGGGTTGCAATGGGTTCAGGTGGCCGGGTTTTTTTGGGGGGGGGGAATTTACATCCGAAGGCGTAGAAAAACGGGAGGTTTGTGTTTTTGCACGAGACCCAGATGGATGAGGTTCTTGGAGCACTGAACTGCTACTACCAAATGGGAACCTCTTATCTGTTCACATTTCTGGGAGTAAAGGGGGGCGCTCTGACAAGTCTCTGGATGTTCCCCCGCAGGTGGTGATCAAGTATGTGCCCTATGTGGGCGACAGCAAGCGGGCCATGGACGAGTACACCTCCGAGATCATGCTGGGGGGCACCAACACCATCGTCATCCACAACACCTGCGAGGTGAGCACCTGACTAGAATCTCAGTGGGAAGAGGAGGAGCCCTGTCTCGCGTTGAGCTGGAGAGAGCGATTTATAAAACATTTTCTATTGTAAGCGAATCCATTAAGTGGCTCGTTAGCACTCTAGAAACTCAAGACTTCATCAGATTCGCTGTAGGGGATTAACCCAAAGGAAGACCCCCCAGTCAATCCCAGTAATGCTGCTATCGACCTGGGTGGTCTTACCTTGCTTAAGAAATAAACTGATTTGGAGATTTGAACTTCCAGCCTCACTAGCTTTTTACTTGGCTGGTTGCCAGCGGGGGGGAGGGGGGTGGGGAAGGTTCCTCTCGGGTCTCCCGGAGGTGCCGAATCGGTAAATGAGCTCTGAGCAGCAGGAAGAGCTGATGGGCACCGTGTGCCACCTGTTTTGGTGCAGGACTCCCTGCTGGCCAGCCCCATCATCCTGGATTTGGTGATCCTGACGGAGCTGTGCCAGCGCATCACATTCCGCACGGAGGACAGCCCCGACTTCCAGACCTTCCACAGCGTGCTCTCGGTGCTCAGCTACCTGTGCAAGGCACCCCTCGTCCCACAGGGGGCGCCGGTGGTCAACGCCCTCTTCAGGCAGCGCGCCTGCATTGAGAACATCATGAGGTTCGTGTGGTTTCTCCTGCCCACATCAACCCATTGCTCTGTGGTCCACAACTCCAGTCTCTAGGGCCTCAGTGTCTCCAGGTTTATTTTCCAGTGCTGCTCTTAATGACCCAAGTGAGATCATTATTAGCTTAAAACTTCCCCTGGTGGTGGTTTTTCCTCAAATTAGAAAACCTGATGGATTCTGGCACTTCAGCACTGGAGTTATAGCCAGCATTATAATAGACCTTATGTTATTGAATTAATGATTTTGTTTGCATAATTAGTGGGAAATGGTTTGCCTACCCCTGCTGTGCTAAATACAAGGTGATTATCATGGAGGTACCCAGGTGTACCAGAAAAGGAATGTGTTGGGCTTCCTGCATCTCTCAATAATTTTATATACAGTATCACCTTTTAAAAGTGGTGTCTCAAAGCACTTTGCAGTAAGAAGTAAAATTTAAAAAGCATGAATTACACAAGGGTTTGAAATACAGTAGGAAAGCAAAGGGGCAGACACAGAACCAGTTAACTAAAGCCCTTCTAAAGAACAAGGTTTTGAGTCTTGATTTGAATGAGGTTGGGCAAGGCAACGCCGATATCCTTAGAGCGGGAGACAGCCCCGTCAGCCATAGAGTGTCCAGTGTACAGATGGAAGCCCAGGATGAGAGGAGTGGAATAGGATGATAGCAAGTGCTGTGGTTCCAGGCCATGGACTGTAGTGCCTTCTAGGTGAGAATGTTGATTTCAAAATCCTCAAACTTTTGTCCCCCCCCACCCCCACAGAGCCTGCCTCGGGCTCCCCCCACAGAATCACATGCAGCTTGAGCACAAGACGCGCAGCGGCTGTCTGCCCCAGGAGTGCAACAGCATCACCGTTCCCACGGCAGCCATCAAGAAGCCCGTCGCCCTTGACAACGGGTACCACGCGCCGCTGCTGCAGAACGGCTTCCACTAGAGCTGGTGGTGGGGTAAGCGGCGCCCGGCTCTGGCCTGGGCACAGGGCTCTCCTGTTTGCGGACATTTGCCTGAGAAAATAAAAATAATCTGTTTGTTGTTGTTTTTTTGTTAAGTTTGCTGTAGCTGTTCTGTTTGGTAGTGTTGTTTGCTTTGTAAAGGCGGGACGTCCCAGAGACCAGACCCCAGGATTGTTTTTTTTTTTTTTTTAAGGATAGTCGCAGGAGCGCACTGTCATGTTTTTTTTTTTCTTACATTTTTTTTTTGTTGTTGGGACTTCTTGTTGTATAAAAAGGCGGAACCTTGAGAATCCTCTGGAGGATTTTTTTTAAGTGCTTGAAAGTTATTTTTAAAACTGTTAGAATTCCAGCTGTATTTTGTCAATTAACAGTTTTAAAGCAGTGGGGTGCCGTGTGAAGGTGGAAGATGAGATCGGTGTGTCTTGTTTCCACTCTTCGATAAGGACTAAATCAAACTTGGCCATCTTGCACCCCTGCCAATTTTCCTCCGGACATCTGTAAAGCTTCTGTAAAAGGTGCTAGAGTTCTAGGTATTGCTGCCAGTACCTCCAATTTGCTTATTTAATTTAAAAAGAGGAGAAAAAACACCATGTCTGACTGCCCCCCGAAGGGCTTTGTTCTTGTGCTGAACTGCTTGTCTCAGAAGTGAAAGGAGTGAGATGACCTCATTGTCCAGCCTCGTGGGAGAGAGGCTGTGTGTGTGTGTGTGAATGGACCGTTCTTTCCTATTGGGAAGCTGAGAGAGAGAAGAAGGTGAAATAAATATCTAAATTGTTCAAGCGATGGTCTCTAGTGTATACTTTCATCTTAATCCTCCATAAAAACTTCACCAGGAGTGGGACGGAGTGTGTTGCTCTGGGGGAAAGTGCGATAGCCAGGACTACCTCTTCGATGGATGATGCAGCTCTCCAGGCCAGCAGGTTTTAATAAGCAAAAGATCAGTGCATGTGGTTACATTGGACCAGTACTGAGCTAATTAGGCCAATTTAACTGTACTGTAAAACGGTGCCATCCTTCAGATGAGATGCAAAACTGAGGTCCTGACTCTCTGTGGTCATCAAAAATGCCAGGGCATTTGTCAAAAAGAGTAGGGGTGTTACCCTGGTGTCCTGGCCACATTTCTCCCTGGCCTTTACCAATCATGGCCTCCTCGCAATACCTATCTCTGAACTGGCTCCCACTCTGTTCTCCTCCCCCGATTGCTGATGTGGGGTGAGCGTTCTGGCGCACTATGGCTGCCGTCGCATCATCCAGATGGGGCTGCACATTGGTGGTGGTGGTGGTGGTGGTGGAGAAGATCCCCATTGCCCAGAACAGCGCTATAGAAGTGTAAGCAATTATTATTTGCTGTACATAATTACGAACATGCCCATTTCAATGGCTGTTAATGAATTATGCTAAGAATGGAACTGTTAAAACTCAAGAAGAGAAAATCCCACAGTTCTGCTGTGTGTGTGTGAACAAATGAATAAGTAAACGATATTATATCCCCTTACCTCTCCTCCCCACGGCGCCTGACATTGCTGGTAATGGTGATCTGTCACTGAAGCCTGAGTGTGACACTGGGCTGTAGGCCACCGGTACAGGAGTGATTGATTAGTCTCACTGGGGAAAGGGGACACTGTACAGAGAAAAAAACAGCTTTAGAACACTCGACATCAGCAGATGGCCTTCAAAGAAAAAAATATTTCGTATGCTTTTCCCACTGACCCGTCGGTCTGCAGCTCTAGTTAAATTACAGGTCACTGCTGGGTTGGTGTTCCCAAAGCAAGTTCACATTACTGCAAATGCACACAAGCGAAAGGGTCTCAGGAGTCTTCCCTCCACACGCCATTGAGTGGCAGCATCTGTCACAGGCATATAGACAGCCCACACAGTGCTGGGCTCACTCACGCACACACGCACGCGAACACACGCAGCAGGTGCCCGCCTCCAGCTCCTGGCATTCATCTCCCTGTGCGGTCCGCCTGCGCCGCCCTCTCCCCCCCCTGTGGGCACGCATCACACATGCAGCGGAGGAGGTGGGGGTGGGAACAGATCGCAGAGACTGCCACACAGGTCACACAGACTGCAGAACAGTAGCAGGGCGTCTGGCCACACACAGGACTGCTCGCCTCTCTGCCGAGGAAGGCCCCAGTGCCATCCAGCATGCCAGGCCCTGTGCCGCATCTGAACGTGGGAAGAAAACACTGGTTTCATTCCTTCCAGGACAGTTAAAAGGGACAAGTCGGGGGAGGGGGGGCAGGGGGGAGAGAGAAAAGGACGGATAGCTGTATTTGGAGTTCCTGCCTCTGCCTGATCCCATGCAGCTGGATTCCTGGGAAGTCAGAAACATCTGGCCACCGGACCCATCTCTCCACAGGTGAGCATGCCTTACTCTTGTCTGGTGCCTCCGGCGGTGGTGTCCACCTCAGCCCTGGTCATTAACAGTTCAATCTTGTCTGCTACAGCCTTGTAGCAGTGTGCACAGCCTTGTTTCTGACCGCGAACGCAGTGTCCGTGTGACACCCTCTCTCTCGCTGTAGTTTAAAAGACACTGAACCTGAGGCATAACAAACCACTAACCTCCACCCACTGTGCACTCGATATCTGCACTGGGATAGCGGTCCGTCACCGATCTGTACCATTAAAACTCCACTGCTGGCTGAAAGAACAAGATCTGCCAGCCTTCCTGCAGCTGCAACCTTACTGGTCAGGGAGCAGGGTGAGATTCAGGGGGTTTCCTTGTTTCTGAATAGACTAGTATCATTACAGTTCACTAGGCAGTACTAAAATAGAGTAAAACTGCCAGATCGTACTGTTCATCTGTTCTACAAACAGAAAGCCTTTGCCAAGGGAGAAGTAAAAATACAACATGTAGCTCCCTTTGTTGTCTCTCCTCATATTTTAGCATATCATATCTTTCGAAGTGCATCTAGCTGTAAATTCTCCTTTTACAGTATGAGGGTAAAAATGGATGAGGCAGGTAACCCCAGACTAAGGTAAGCAAACAAGAAATAGAAAACACCAAAATATTACTGGAATGTGCAGGAAACGGACAGTGGTGCCCTTGAGGATTAAAAACAGGCCAGAACAGGACACGTTCCTGCAGAGGAATGCCGAGATGAGAAACAGACCCGCGAGATGTCAATCCTCTTTGACCTCCGACCCCAGTGCTGCTGCGTGGCCTTGAGCCGGGGGGGCGGGCTGGTTTGGGGGTGAGTGACAGGATCGCCCCGAGCCTGTGAGGCACCGGTTCAAGGGCACACGAGACTCGCCGTTCAAGCCTCAGAGAGAGAGAAGACCAGGGTTTATTAGGGCCAGCAGCCATATCACCCTGCAACTCACAACTGGCAGCCCACTGGTGCCCAGCAGGTGTGAGCCTGGCCAGTACCTGGAGGGGAGACTCCTGGGAAAGCTGAGGCTGCTGCTGGAAGAGGTGTTAGTGGGACCAGTAGGGGGCGCTCACACTGCGGTCCATGTGGGTTAGAATGCCCCAGTATAGTGACGGGGACACAGGCTCCATCCTTTGGATGAGACGGTCCCGACTCTCTGTGGTCATTTAAAAATCCCAGGGCGTTTCTCGAAAAGAGTAGGGTTGTAACCCCGGCGTCCTGGATAAATTTCCCATTGGCCCTTACCAGTCATGGCCTCCTAATAATCCCCATCTATGAATTGGCTTCATCACTCTGCTCTCCTCCCCACTGAGAGCTGATGTGTGGTGAGCGTACTGGCGCATCATCCAGGTGGGGCTGCACACTGGTGGTGGTGGAGGGGATCCCCATTACCTGTAAAGCACTTTGAGTGGAGTGTCCAGAAAAGCGCTATATAAGTATAAGCAATTATTATATTATTATTATTATTATTATATTATTATTATTATTATTAGGCATGGCCCACCCTCCGGCTGGCTGTGTATTTTCCACACTGCGAGCACAGTTCTCGATCTCACTGAAACACAGTCACTTTCATCAAACAGTATTTTTGGATCAGTAGCAGGTGTTATGAAAGGAAGGGGGCTGGCGATGCAAGTGCTATTTGGAAAACAAACAAAAAAACTGCAGCCTCCAGGGACAGTCATCCTGTGACTCATAAACTGGGCTACGAGCTTCATGGCCACAATGGCTCATCATCACTATAACGTAAGAAACAGAAACTCAGATTTGCAGACTGCCTCTCAAGACAGGATCCCAATTTTCTTAGGAAGCATTAAGAGCACAACAAAAGAACTGGAACCTCATCACAGAACTTCCTGTTCTAAGAATCTGATATTATGTGCAAAGATAATCCCCAGGCTGTGATGTATCTGGCTTCCTCTTTGCAATAATGATGAGGCTCTGATGGAGAGCAGATCTGATAGCACAGGTGCTCCAGGTAACCTGACAGCTCCTCGCCACACACAGGCGCTTGGCTCGCTGTCACAGACTAACATTGAGCTGAGGGAAGTAGGCTGGGGTTGTAGCACAGATCGGGAACTAAGGGCCCTTCAGGACACTCATGTCTAAGCTCCGTGGTTCCAGCGAAAGCGCGGTGCTGTTTTTGCAGCACAGTGGTGGGGTTTCCACAGGAGGGGAAGACACAAAGACATTGGACTTGATCGGCTAACGTTCATATCCCATCATGGGATCTGAGCGAGACTAATTACTCTAAGAAAGCAGAGTTTTAGGGATTTCCAGAGGGGGGGTGTCTCTGTCTACAGCAATATCCTTGCGGGGGGGAATGTGATATCATCCCAGCTGACTGAAGCAAGACAGCACATCCCGTGACTGTGCCAAGAGACCATGCTGTACCAGCCCGTCTCCCCCTCCCTACTCCCCGCTGGTCACCTCTTTCATCCCAGCTGGGGTCCTCTCAGAAAATGAGGGCTTCAAAGTGCCCCCCTTCTGGCTTTGTACTTGGCCCGACATTTGAATCGGTCAGAAGTCAGAGATGCGCCTGTTCCCCCCAGCTCACGATACGAATGTGACGTTTTGACTCGCATAAGATTCTGATCAGTTTGTCTCAGGGTCTAATACAAAATCAATCAAACAGATTTTATATTAGACAAAAAAAAAGAGTTTCTACCCTCCTGCTGTCATCGCCTCTGAGCACAAAGAGATCCAGACGTGTTGAGCCAGCATCTGGTTACAACTTCATCGCCCTTACCTTATCCTTTGTCATTTCAGCACGAATGGTCTGTGTACCAGGGTGGAAATACCGTTGTTTTAAAAAAAGTGTTGTGTTGCCCTCTATCTCTTCAATGGCACCTTATAAATATCTTTTCTGTGTTGGCCTGGCAACAGGAGCTGCAGTGGATTCTGGGCAGCGACCCAAGAACTGAAGACTCTGCAGCCGTAAGGAGCTGAGAGGAGGGGGGGGGGTGTCACTGGGGGTCCCCCCTAAGAGGGAAGAGCTCCCTATCTCCACGACACAGACTTGGACCCAGGTCCTGACCGGGGAGGCTGGTGAGAGGGGATTCGGAGACCCCCCCCAAAAAATGGGCGAGCCATGGGACTACCTCACCGACGGAAGCCCCCTCATCAAGGCGGCCCACCTGGGCAAGCTCCGGCTGGTGCGTCTATTGGTGGAAGGCGGGGCCCAGGTCAACGAACGCAACCAGACGGGTGAAACGCCGCTGCTGGCGGCTTGCAAAGCCAGGCAGGGGGACCAGCCGGTCACCAGCCAGCTGAAGCTGCTGAGCTACCTGCTGGACCACCAAGCCGACCCCAACGGCCAGGACAGGACGGGGCGCACCGCCCTGATGTACGCCTGCAGGGAGAAGGCGGGGCCCGAGGTGGCGGCGCTCCTGCTCGACCGCGGCGCCGACCCCAGCCTGGAGGACTACGCGGGCGCCTCGGCGCTGGTCTACGCCGTCAACGCCAAGGAGAAGGCCACCCTGCAGGTGCTGCTGGATGCCTGCAGGGAGAGGGGCCGGGACATCATCATCATCTCCAAAGACCTCACCGCTCGGGGCCACGCCGTCACCAAGAGGTACCTGAACGTGCCGCCCTCCCCGGACGACGAGGGACACTCCTCGCCGGATTCCTGCACGTCTCCCTCGGAGATCGAGCTCCAGACGGGCTCCCCCAGCTCCGAGGCGGAGGGAGGGAACATCTTCGACTTCCGGGGGACCAGCAAAAGAGGGGCGCCGGCCCCGCTGCGAGAGAACGCGTGCGCTCGGCCCAAACTGGACAGCTGGGCGGGCAAGAACCACCGCCTGCGATCGGAGCCCTGGCTGGAGATTCACAACCTGACACACCTGCAGGACGCGTACGAGGAGAGCCTGAGGGGTGGAGGATGGGCGCAGGAGGAGAAGGAGGAGGAGGAGGAAACGGAGCAGGGGCAGCTGGAAACCGAACTACGGGTCCTGGCAGTGTCGAGAAGAACCTCCTGCTCCAAGAGCACGGATTCCGCACAGGTCTCCTCCTCCGAAACCGCCCGGGCCCGAACCCCAGCCCCCGAGACGAGCAAGTCGCCCAGGAGATCCTCCATCGAGAAGCTGCCCACATCCACCAAATCCAGGGTGCTGGGCCGCAGGAACACGCTGACCGCCGCTCCGGACCGACCCCTCCTGCAGCTGCCCCACCTGGCCCCAGACCCCTGCTCTTCCGATTTGCACCTTCAGCCCGGTAACAACGTGGAACCCACCCCAGTGGAAACCCAGGGCAGCAGGCAGGCGCCAGGCAGAAAGGGCCAGCTCTCGTCCGCGCCCGGCCGGAGGTCCCTCTCCATCGAGTCCACTGAGGGCTCCCAGGGTGTCTTCGCTGGTGACGTAACCGGGAAAAGACGACTCCCCGAGAGGCGGCCACAAGAGGGCGCCATGCCGTCCGGCTCCCAGGCGCGATCAAGCTTCCTCCCGCCCCTCCCTTCGGGTCCCTCCCCGGCACCTGCCGGGCTCAGACCTCCTGCCCCCACAGAGAAGCCTCCCTGGCGCCCGCTCTGCGGCTCCAGGTTTGCGGCCGGCCAGGAGAAAAGGGTACAGCGTCGACACTCCATCCAACTGGAGCAGATGAAGCATCCGGGCAGCTACGAGGAGATCCTGCTACTGTGAGAAAGGGGGAGAGAGAGAGATGCACACGACGTCCCGGAGCCTCCGTGTGAACCCTGCATTCCTGCCTATTCCGAACTCGGCTCTTACCACCTCCTTCCACTTCAGCAGTTCCAGACCCACCCGCGGCACACCTCTGGCCAGCTGCCGATGAACCAGGTTCTCCTTGCAAGACGGAAGCTGGCCAGGAAGACAGTTCTTGAAGCGTGGGGCTTGGAGTGCCTTTATTCCATATTCTTCTCCCTTGGATATGCTTCTTCCCAGTTCCAGTGGATTCTCCTATATCCACACGCCACAGGGCTGTGGAACAGGGGGCACTTCCTTACACAAAGTGGTGTGCGTTGTAGAAGCCGAAATCTTGGCTTGGTTCAAGAAACAGCTAGATGAGTTCTTTGGATCTGTTAGCTTCTGCCCTACCAAATGGTATGACAGGGCAAATAGCCTCCTCTCGTTCATATGTTTCTCATGCTCTTACCTTTCCCCAGTTGCATGTGCTCATGCATCGAGAGGACACTTTCAGACCAACAAGTCTGCTCAAGAACCAACACAACCCTTCGCACAGCTGTAGGCAGATGGGCAGGATGGGAAACAACAGGCAGATGGATTGCTCCCGCAACGCAGCAGGGCTTTGACTAAATCCGTGACTAAGCCTGACCACTGAACACTCCAGAACCCGAGAGGGCTCAGGCTTCAGGCACACAGGATAGAATGTAAACATGCAACTATCCTCACGTTAGCATCCACACAGAACACCACCAACACCGAGCTAAAAAGTATCAGGTCTTGTTTGCGTTGAAAAGACACCAAAACGGAGCCATTCCTACATTTGGCACATGCTTTTAAGAACGGACAGGTCAGGGTGTTTACATAAACACAGGAAACAATCATTTCCCAGCAGCCCTTGTTCCAGTCTGATATTTCTACACTGACATTAAGGCCAGGATTTTCCATCATTGCATCATTCTCTATCATTCCACCCAGCCTTGACTTGAGACCTGAGTACGTTATGAAAGGATTAGGCTTAATTCTGGAATGTGAGCGATCTTTAAAACCCAACCAATGACCTAAGGCGACCTCAAGCCTTCTCTTACACAAGTTTTAAGCACGACAGCTATGTTAAAGGGCGATACTGGCCCAACAGAGATTTTATCAGAGTGAAGTTTTTTTCCTCAGGGCGTGAAGCTGCGGCTGCTTTGCGTTCGCTGACCCTCGAGTAGCTGCAGTTCATCTCAGGACCTCTTGTTCCGCTCACCTCGGGGTGCACGATGGGCAATGGGGTGCCTGCAGGAGCCTGGAGTCAGTAAATGGTTCCCCCAGTGAGCTGACGTAGGACAAGAGGGACACAGCAGCTGGCCAGGAAAGAAGCCAGACTCGCCCCTCATGGCCTGGTTCCGCTGAGCGGTATAGCGAATATCCTCCATGGTGGAACAGCCCCAGCACTGCTCTCCCGAGCTCCCTGTCCCCGTCGCTCACCTGCCCATCCGCAGACAAGCGGACGAGTGATGTTCCCGGGGTACAGGGGGTGCTCTTCCCTCGGCCTCCGGCATCAAGCCCGGTCACACCCAACCCGGTGGACAGCAGCTCCTATTCCAGGAGGACGCTGGTCTGAGAATGTTTCCCCAGCGTGCTTCTATAAATCACAGATCGGGGTTTGGCTACGTGTACTGTGTTCTTATTAAAAAAAGAACACAGATCTGCAGATGATCTTATATTTTTGGGAGCAGAACTGGCTGGATGACAAACCTGCAGATGCTCCTCCAGACGTGCAGGCATGGCAAAGCAGTGTATAGAACCTCAAATTGTTAGAACAACAAATACATTTTTCTCTGTAGGTTTTGTCTGGGGCATTAAAAATATTACTGTTCTGAACACTACAGTTCTTAGAATGACCAAGTCAATATTAACCTTGCAAATTATTGACAGTTCCCATACACTTCAATGCAATTGATATTACATAGATTTTTTTTTTTCTTCGTTTGCATAAGCAACCCTTTACCATCAGCTGTGCTCAGATGCAAGTGATATTTTCAGAACAGAACAGCTAGCCACTTCACACTCATGTAGACCCGTCTGGATTGATCACACAGAGCTTCGCAGAGCGGAGATTTCAGACTATTTAGCACCTCAAAAAAACATTCCCGATGTCACGTACAGACGCATCTCTGCAGCTGAGTGCCCAGCCCACCTGCTGAGCCAACTGCCCTGATGCAACCCGATCTCGTCAGTTGATACAGGCTGTTTGATACCATCGTGCTCCAGCAGAGATGATAACTTAGCATAGACTTTGCCTGTTGCTGTAGAGAAGCCACATTATAGGCTTTTAGACTACACATGCAAACAAATCCAGAGAAAACACAGGTCAGTGCTGGACACCCTAAATGCAGGAATGGCCCTTGAGGGCCACTGGATATCCCCTATGCAGTGTTTAGAACAATACTGTGGGACAGACACCAACTCTGACCCCACCAATCCTGGATATAAATGGCTTTAACCTTCCAGCATTCACTCCACTAACATGCACCAAATTCAACCCTCTATCCCTCTCCCTCTCATTGGAGCGTTTGGAGGCAGCAGCCAGACTTGTCCACCCCTCTGATGTGTCCCAACATCTGTGTCCATCTCACACTAAGTTGGTCCTGCTGTGTCACATCACTGCGCCATGAAAAAAACCCTCAGCTCTGAATCGTATCGACAAGCAGAGGACCACTAGTGAAAGGACAGCCCTGCTCATCGAAATGTGTCTGATGGCTAAAACAACCGAATTGGACCTCGCTGGCACACAGGACCACACCTCCAAAGGCTCTGAGGACAAGTGTCAGTCAGAGAAATCAGGAGTTGCTGTGCTTGTGGAAAGTACTGAAAACTCCAGCTTTGGAAATGGCACTTGTTTTAAATAAAGAAAGCCTCTCAAATACCTGTCAGCTTCACCAGAACAGGCTGCAGTGTGTAGACTCACCTGGGGGCCTCTCCAATCCCTTCCATGATGATAAACCAGCACCTTAATTGCTTAATTGATAAACCAATTGATCAACTTGCAATTGAAGACCTGGCTGTACTAAAGTATTGCAGAAGAGCTGCCAGTTGGGGGCACTGTTAATGACGAACAGCACAGTGTACTCCCGTTTCTAGGCACCCCCCCTTCCTCCCCACCCCACCCCCAAAAACCACCCAGGATAGAAACACAGACACCCACAAGCAGAACAAAGCACCGTCCGAGCAGCACTGATGTCTCGTAAAAGGAAGCCATCTGATTTTATTTCAATTCTGTTTTTAAATAGACGTATGTACAACGCACAGACAGACCACCGCTGCCCTTCGGCACAGGGCAGAAGATGAAGAGACGACTCCAAGAACAAAGGGGAAAAAAAATCAAATTACATTTATTATTGATGCAGGTTTGTTTCTTTCTTCAATAAGCAACTTTTTGTCAGTCTAAAGAAACTTTACAATATAAAGAAACATACAAAGGACATCGGTATACTACACAAGACAACTATATAGCCCTAAGACAAGGATCTCAGCTACCTACCGTAAAATACAAAGCAAACCTAGGAAAAAGACTGCTTCATTTTCAATACTGCTGTGTCATCTGAAAGGACAATGAACAGTACAAGACAGACCTGGGCATTCTTGGGCTCATAGACACAGGCCAGCAGGGATGGCAGGACCCCAGAGACTCAGAGCGACAGCACCCTGCCCTGCACCTTTGACTCAGCAATCAACTGTGGTCACCAGGGGGCTGCAAAGGGGTTCGGGGGGGTGGTTATCATTCACCTGTCAAAGCTGCTGGGCTCCAGACAGCTTCAAGGGGCCAAATATGCGATTGGTCAAAGTCTGCAGAAGTCAAGTGATCTCCAACGTAACTCCCCAAAACAAATTGATCAAAACGAATCTGCCCCTGCTGGACTGTAGCTGCCCCCCACCAAGAATGAGGGTTTGGGTCCACCTCCCCCCCCCCCACCTTGGGTGAGGGAGCCCCTCTCCTCTTGCATGCTCCCCCACCCAGCACCCCCAAAAAGTCCCTGCCAGTGGGCCGGTAATACAGAGCGTGATGAGAGAACACAGACGGGGCTGTCCCGGGACAGGAGAGCAGGGAGAACACGCACACCGCCTGCTCTCGCGCTTTTCTCCTTCGAATGAGGTCCTTGAAGTTTCGTCTCCGTTTGTTTTTTTTTTTTTTTTAAGTTTTCTTTTTAAATAGATAAAAAAAAAATCCTTCATATGAAAGGCTGGAATAAGTGGTCCCTTGCCGTGTCTTTAAAGAGATGGTGCCCTTGACCCTCTGACTCAGGATGCCCAACCAGTGCAAAATAAATCGGAACGCTGCAGTTCCAACCACCTTGAAGCTTCTCCCCCTCCCCACATCTGCCTTCTTTGCGGTGCAGGCAGACCTCCCCGAGCACATCTGTATTGTGGGTGGCGGAGGGGGGTCAGGCCACCCCCCCCCCGTCACGGCCTCAGACACGTCACCCACAAGCAGGACAAGCTCTCGGGAGACAAGTCCTCCCCTTGCTGGGCCAGCCTGCTAAACCTGCACAGTCATGCCCCAGCTCGCATGAACCGGCGCATTCTCACGCAATGACACTGTCGCCCCACTGCATGTTTCGGCAGACAGACTGTGCTAGGCCGGTACTACGGTGAAAGTCCACAAGGGCTCACGTGAACTCTGCTCTCTTACTCACAGGGTTAAGAACCCCAGAGCTCAGGCTCATCCTCTGAAGCCCAGGAGAGACCAGGCGAGCACACAGATTCTTTGTCTCAACTCTGCAAGCACAGCACCGGGGGACTCAAGTCCTCTCCAAGACATCGGCTTTTAGGGACAAAGCTCTAGGGAGGTGGTCTCCTTCCTCCCTAAAAGACAATACAGGCTCTGGGAGGATTTAATGCAGCGGTTTCATGAAAGCTCAACTTGTATGAAGGATGCAGTTACTGTTATTTTGCTCTTTATTTAAAGCTACAAGAGCAGTCAGACAGAAGCACACCGTCCCTTTAAATGAAAAACAGTTTTTTTTTCAGAGAGAGAGAGAGCTGTATTCATTGGTAGTGACATTTTAAAATATGTCCATGATATCAAAATGCATTATACAGTATTTACAAAACCAACCACGCGTAGAGGGCTGAGAGCAGCTGGGACAGAGACCCTCCTAGCTCTGGGGCTCACTGGCCAACAGGGCGGTGCTGCGGCACTCTGCAACCTTCTCTGCAATGACCTTTCCCGTTTATGTGCAAATAAAAAAAAAGCATATTCATCAACGCTTTAATTCTCCAAAATTAAGCGCTACCACTAATGAATCACCCCGTCTGAGTTGTTTTCCCTCTCCTCTGATTGGCTGCTTTTGCCAACGTCTCCCCCCCACCCCGACTGAAGGCGCTGCACAGGTCCGACAGCGCCCTCTGCAGCCCGCAGGCGGGAGAGCAGTCAGTTCCACTCGGGATGCAGACTCGTGGGACTGGGATATAACTGGAAAGGGGCACTCTCACCAGCCAGGGAGAACAAGGAATAGACTGGGATCATGGAAGTTT